TAATCTGGTTCTTCCAAACCAGTTAAAAATTTGAGTCTCTGGCAAAGCAAAGAGACATTATCTCTATTCTCATTCGAGCTATCCAAGTTTCTGTGCTATAGCAACATCACATCTTTGTTGATACAATGGCTCCTTGCAGCCTACAAATAATCATATGAGACCTTTTTGCATCCAAAGAAATATCAATATCACACAGGTGAAGAATTAAGAAATTTAGGTAGGTAAAAACTATACACAAGACAAAGGATGGTAAGGACGTAAATGTGAGTCATGGATGAAATCAAAGGGAAAATAACAACGTCAGAATAATTACTTTCTTATTGCACCTTATACGGTGAAAAATCAATTATGTGATCGCTCTCCCGTGGTTTCAACAAGTAGTGGTACATGTAGAGTAGTGAATGTAATTTGACCAAAATAAGTTAGTAAATGTGTCAAGGAAAATGGAACCACTTGTCTTTAACATGGATTTCTTGCTTTCTCTTTTAATTCCTCTAAATAATTCCAAATAATAACGAATAGTTTACCTTGCATAGCCCTAACAACTATGACTTTTCCATTGCTCGCCAAAAGTTTGTGTAAACACACTTCTTTTTACAGAATTGCACATGTTGAAATGCAGAAAATATTTTGAACGTTTAAAATCTGAATGCTGTTATAAGTGGAAAAACAAAAACTGTCCTTCGTCAAGCTAATCGGCTTTACTCCTACTGATGTGTTCTCGGATTTATTCGCACTGCTAATATTGAAGAAATAATGTATCTGTTGATCATGAAACCAATTTTCGGAATCTCTTTGCGTATTCAAATTGTTATTAATCACATCGTAGGTAGACAAAGCTAATATCTGTCATTTCCAGCCAATCAGTTGGTTTCTTTGTCTCTTCTTTGTTTTATTTTGTCAATGAAAAAGACGGAGCCATTCAGATGTTACGGAAGCCTTCAAATTAGTCTAACTTTAGGAGTCAGCCGACCATCCCTCTTTGCTAATGTGCGTTGTGCTGCCAGCATCATGATATTGTCGTTAGACCTGTCTTACCTGCCATATGCACCAGTCATAAATATCTGGTGAGATGTCATGGACGTCTTGTTGTCGTGCAAGACCACACCTCTCCTTATGATCATATTCCCTAGTGCTAACTTTTTTTTCTTTTTCCTTTTATGGAATCAGGTAATTTGTTTTCCTCTACTGCAACTTTCGACCACAGTTCACAGTCAAAAAGTTGAACAACAATAGTGGTGATAAGAGTGGAATCAGGTTAAACGAAGTCTGGAAGGTGAGGTTTTGTTGAAACTGCAAGTTTTACACGCTACTTCCTGTAGTCTCTAGTGTGCACATTTACCCTGCGTGATGGGTGGAGCTGATCTATCATGCAAGAATGACACCCTGGATCACTCTGTTGGCAGAGAAGAAACTTGAGGCAGAATGAGAGCTTACGTGGTGTTGAGCTATGGATATGTTTGAAGAGCCTTGTGAACGAGATAGTTCTGATAGTCTACATTGTAACTCTAATCTAGTATGTTATGATGGTACAGCGCCAACACTGTAGATTTGTTCGTTTTGAAAGACCAGAGAAGTTGTTCCTGAAGGATTTGGAAGACAGAAATCGGTCCATGACTACCTGGTCTTCGACCTGCATTTTGATCGCAAAACACGCAGTCCCTATCGACTGCCTGCAAAGCGGAATCCCAGGTCACTTTTAATGCACACATTCATATCTTTTTTATATCCTGCATCACAAAGACAAACACTGTATGTATTTGATTATACAGCTTAAGCAAATGTTGCGTCATATGATGCACCTGCAGACTGCAATGCCAGGTCATTGTGGCAGATTTATTTATGTTCAGCTTAGTCTTCTTGCTTACTGAAACATACCTCCTAGCTGAAGTTACCCGTTCGGTTTCACCTTGTACGGCTTGATGTAGTCTTCCCATCAGTTTTTATTATACACTTGGCCCCGTCCCCAGCTGAAGCCAAAAGCAAGAATGCCTTGAAAAGGACGGAGATGGGGAAGGTATCTATAAAACATGCAAGGTGATCTGCGTTCGTTTGAGACTTCTAATCGAGGTAAATGTAGCTCATGCCTTAAGTTGATATTGATGCATGACCGTGTAGATTGAGGAGTGGCAACCTGTCCGGCTCGGTTCAAGTACCTTTTGCCTCTCTAATGAGTATATAAGATATTTACAGCATGATCTGAACACAGATATACGGTTTGTTTATCAGGACAAAATTTGACCTTCGTTGAGGAAACTGAAAGCAACTCTGAACGTCAAATTTTCAATGCCCTTCGAGGAAGTACAAGTTGCAGTGGTTTGTTGACGTTTAGAATTTAGACTCATATGTTTGTTGGGCTCTTCTCATATATCTCATACGTACCCAACATCAGTATATTGTGAGAGATATACTGAAGAGTAGTAATGCGGGCAGACAAAAACATAGTTTCATCATCTCATTTTATCTTTCTGCAAACATTCGTGTCAAGAATCTGGACGGACCAACATATGTTATGGCTTTTGCTCCTTGATGCTTTGAAACTCAACCTGCATGCATCGCAGCCAAGGAGCAACTATTCTGCAGGGGTTTCTACTGTTCTGCATTATACAGACCTTGACATTGTACAACACGTGTTCAGGCTCGCTGTTAGATCTCTATCAACCAAGAATCTTGAAAAATAAAAGAGTGGTCAGCTGCCATCTTCATGGGCGGGATCATGAAAGCTCCAACAGCGCCAAGGTGGATAGAACACATTTGTGTTCTATGGAGGCCATCTTCCACAGGAATATTAAATCATTAGGAGCAGATGGAGGAGGACGAGTCTATCATAATATACTAAGTATGCAACTACAACGGTATCCCAAGTACCAGATTTGCATTCACTATGAAGGATCGATTGCAATAGTGGATAGACCATCAGAAAAGCCTTCAGTCTCAAAATCCATTCACGAATTCAGGAGTTACACCATCAATCTTTCAAAACGAGAACGTGCTTCGTTATTATCAAGCCTTTCGGCTGAACTTCAAGTCACCTCTTCCTTGCCAAATTTCTTGAGCCAGCTGCTGATCACTCGAATCGTTTACTTGCGGTGTGATTTTCAAAACAAAATCCCACTATGATTTGTGGATGTAGGAAAGTAAAATACACGGTCAAAGGGCGCCACAGTATAGATACTCTCCTTAGGAGGACATCCAGTCCTTCAGGAAGCTCGAAAATCTCGAGAGAAGTGAAAGGAGTCAGATTTATGCTGCCAGACATGACGGTCTCTCTGAATGACCATCGATGGTCACCCAGGTACCATAGGCTAGACAGTACAAGTTCTAGACTCGTTTATAGAGAACCTAATGGTCAACGCCGATATTTCTGTAGCCGGGTACAGCAGGTGAAGCTTACCTTGAAATGGAGACCTGTTCCAAATGTGGTGACTCTGTAAGGAAGAGCTTTCAAGGGCTTGGCCCTCAAAGCAGAAATTGTAAAAGAACCTATTCTTTCGGTCACAGAATCTCCTCTCTTTGGCTATCCAATTATCCTACTTTCTAGGAAATCGAAGCAATGGGTACTGGATCATGTTATTTGAACCTTGGAAATGTAGCTTTAGCATGCCTCTGCCTGAGCAGTGTCCAGTTTCTTGTTTTAAACTTAGTAACCAGCCATTGAATTCAATAAGAGGACCAGTGTCTTCTCAAAGCCGAGACAAGTCATGAATCTTGACTTGTCAAGTCAAGTCAAGTCAAGTCAAAGCAACTGCTCCTAAAAAAGCACAGTTTCTAGTTATGCTGCTTGTTTACATATCTGTGACGCTTGTTAAGGATTCTGTTTACAGCTGTATGAAATGAAGTTTCTCACAGGGTCACATACGCTTGATACATGCAGGGCTTGAGGTTCTTTGATCAATTTTAGTGCAGTCTCTTCAATACATGCAGAGGACGTGCAATCATCAGAAATCTGGATCAGGCGGAATGCTCCTCTGTGACTGAGCGGACGGGAGAAGGCAAAATTCACAGTAAATGTGAAGACCCAAGGAAACATCTCTGATCTGGAAGATCCATGTCAACAAACAACAGAAAAGCTCTTAAACCTCAAAGTGCAGATTTTCCATACCAAATACTCACAACTCGAAGGTAACATGTCAATGCTGTGACCAAGGACTCTTGAGATAAAACAATTCTCAAACGACCAGTTGGCTCCAATATCCAACATTCAGTTTCTAACAAGCCAAGTAGTTCTGCAGCATTTCCGAATGTATAGCGCTCCATCTGGAAGTACTTATGAAAAAAAAGAGGAATCTCGAGGCATTCATCCGCAAGAAACGTTGGACAAGTATCTTCCTTCTTATTCGTCTTTGTTCCTTCTCTTGTGACAGTCTCGTTCTGATACTCACAGTGCTCACCATGTAGATACTGTGCTTGCAATCCACCAAGTTGGTGGCTGGGGCCAAAGTCTCCTTAGATGCATGCAAGTCTCCTTATGTCAGTCGAATTCACCTCAATCTCACGGCCCGGATAGGAAAGCTCTCTCTATTTGTGAATTTTTCACCAAGGTAGAATCATGATAAAACAGCATATATCTTGAGACACCCTTTGACCCAGAGTATTTCCAGACTACTCGAACTGAAAGAATTTCCTCCAATACAGCGTCAAATGAGCGAACTCTGAATTAAAATCTTATAGAGAATTCGCTCATTTGGAGTGATGCTTGCACACGTTTCTTGCACTCAACAGATCCATGTGTCAATTGGTGTAATTCTTGCACACAGTCCTCACAGATAACTCTGCTCGTGGAGCTGTGATGACTTAGAAACTTGTGCAAGTTATTTGACAGGAAGAGATTGCTTCTGTGAAAAAAATTGCTGACTTCTTCTGGATCAGTCAAGACGTGCTTGTACTGGGCAAGGACAAAATAATCTTCGTTTTTCATATACAAGAGAGAGCTTTGAACCAGAAATGTGAAAATTTGCTGTATTCATGTGTCAATTGGCTAGGAAACATGGCATGACAACGGAGAGCTTTATAATAAATAATAAATATAATTTATTTCTTCCATATTGCACCGGCCTATTAGCTCAGCTGGTTAGAGCGTCGTGCTAATAACGCGAAGGTCACAGGTTCGAGACCTGTATGGGCCACTTTTGTTTTTTTCAAAAACACCGCGAGAGAATGTGTGAGAGCGTGAGAGTCTTCCGCGAGATCGCAGTTTTATACACTATACCGGAGTAATCAATGCCGAATTTCGCTTGGCCATTGCACAAGAAACAGAGTCTTGCTCCCTGTCAGCTCAAAGCTGCGAGGTGAATGTCCGCGGCAGTTATTTTGTTGTCTAATCAATTATTGTAAAGGACTCAATGAGAACTAGAATACATGGATCTGGAGGCAGGCATTTTAACATTCCAACTGAAATCGATGCATTGATGAAGCCACAAATAGTCCTCTCAGGGCCAGTTTCGGGAGCATTCAGGTGGCTGCCTTCCTCTGAATCTTTTCCTGTCCGTGCAGTAGTCATAGATCATGAACCTCTTTCTGATCCATCTCAAGTCTTCGATCTGAGCGGGCGACAGTGCAAGGTTGGGAGCCCAGCCATAAGAGCTCCGAAACAACCTCTTGTAACAATGGTGCATCGCACTTGCCTCGTTGCTTGTCACGGCACAGGCATCTCTGAGGTTGAAGCCTGTGTACGATGCTAGAAATGGCTGCTCTTCCCAGTCTATCCGATCCAGGCCCCCACGAGTTGCCCACGATTCGCCGTTCCATATACTCGAGTAAATGTACATCGGTTGATACTCTAAGTAAGGAACGCCCAGATCCTTCGTATTGTGAAACACGCGGATGACACGATTGTCGACCAAAAACCTAGCACACCGAAAAGAAAGCCCTAGTCATCGTTTGCTCTCAGTTTGTTCTGTGGTGAAATTGATAATTTGATAGATTATTTTTTTAAGATCAGGAAAAACCAGAGGACTTGGTACTCAAGTGGAGCATGAGGAACTCTTACAAAATGAGCTCTTGGTTCCACATGAAGCCATACTCGTGGTACTTAGCAGTAGGATCGAACCAGAGGTAGATACGTTGCTCCCGGCCACCTTTTCCCTCCGAGAACACATTAGTCTGAAGTATGTAGGGCTTTCCAGAGACATTCCCCAGAAATTCGAAGTCTAACTCAGACCATCTTTTGAATGTAGAAGCCATCTGCATCACTTCCCAGAAACAAGTGCGGAATTAGTATGTGGGTAGAAGGCCGCTGAAGTTCAGGTGCACTGAAAGTTGATAATGAATTACTCGGTGATGAAATTCTCAAAGAATCGCTAGCGGTTGGAGAACTCCAATTCGACAATCTCGGCTATAAACTCAGTGTGTTTCCATTAGTAGCTCACAGCATCAATTTGCATGTTTACGTGGACAAAGTCATGGTGGCAGATTTAATGAGCGCTGGTCTTGTAAAGCCATTGGGGATAGTTCCTAATAGAATGAGTGCAGAGAAACTCACGTAGTACGAAGTGACGGTTCCTGCAGAGTTTCCTCCTACAAGTTTAATCTTCATGGAGAGGTGGCCGTACAGATACGGATACTTGGATCGAAATCCAGAACCTGTATAAACAAATTTTTTTCCATTTTCAGGGCCTCGTTGAGTCCATTCCCCATTTCCGATGTGATGGAAAAGAAGACTACGGAGAGAGGCCGATGCATTTAAGATATTTCAGTCAGTGAATCTTGCTTATGTTATATTCTATTCGAATCATATCCTGACCACGATAGAGGCTGAGCAGTACCGGATACATTATTTAAACCCAGCTGTATAGTGGTAGCGGATCTGTCAGGTTGTCTCGTATGTTCAGCTCCAAAATTGACAAAAAAATCGTCCGAAAATCTGACTCCCAGCACAAGTTGGAAGTATAGAGCTCCGTAGAAGAATAACAGAGGTAGGAACTTCATCTTGCTCATAACAGCTACCAACGATCTCAAAATGGTCTCAATCTGAGAAATTCTAAGAATAATAGATCATACAAGATGCTGAGTGAAATCTTCGTGTATTCTCAGTATCTCATAAGGCGAGACATCTGATAGATTTTTCAAACATTGCCCTCGAGCCAGCTTTTTCCGTCATATGCAGCTGCTTGGAGCATCCATGCTGAAGCTAGGTGAATTTCCGAGACATGCACAGTACCATCTGGAGATTGCGAGAAAATGTTTTCGAATCACTCAGTCCGACGATAGAAGTTTGGCCTGCCTCAGTTTCATCGAAGAAGGATATCAAATCGGATTTTCATTTCGCGGACAGATAATTGAGCCCATGAGTTGAAAGTAGATTGTCAGCGGAATTAGCTCTTCTCGCGAAATGTCTTCTCAATGTAAACACTTTTTCGAATGGGATCAATAGATAGATCGAGTGCGCCCGCACTCAGTTGGCAGACTTCGGCGAGCTCGACTGGAATTGCTCGAAACCTCGAAAAGCACGGCGATTATCCACCACAGCGTTCTCCTGAAGCTCCGGCTCTGGGATAGACAAGTGGTTCTGCTGGCCATGCCCGACGATCCCTGTTCGGCCAAATCTTCATTCAACTCCTAACTTCCGCTACCTTCATGCCTACTTTATACATGTCGTCGTCCCTCATCCAACGAGCGGTGCTTGACTTTACCCCGTACTTGACTCAGGAGAAGTCAAGATTTGCCCCAGGGGCCCGGCTCGGTCGACCTCGGACCGAGCCCGAAGACACTTGTTCCACCTCGTACTTGACTTGGACTTCAACTCTAGATTAACCGTACGAGATCCCACACAGTTACGCCTTTGCAACGGAATCGTCAACTACCTCTCCAGTGAACAGGATCACTCGGTCGGCCTCTGCCGGTAAGGAGCTGAGGTGAGATGAAACATCCGGTCGAAATCAACGTCAGTGTGACGGAGTTTTAAAAGTTCCCGGTGAATCTGCCGCACCAAGTTTAAGCTCTCCTTAACGGCAATGCAACTGGTGTAGATGTGCATGTTGGAACTTTCGGTCGACGGAATTGTGTGTTGTGAAGACTCAAATTGACTCGAGTTATAGGTTGAGACCAGAATTTGTCAAAAGATATTCATGTGACTTTTGCGCTCTCTCAAGATCAGATCCTTGATTTAAACGAAAAAAGTTTAGATTAACCATATTTTAAGTTTGGTATCAGCTGAGAATGGATCTGTTAATGTTTTTTACAATATAATTTTTTATATGAAAATATAGTTTAATATTTTTTTAAATTATACCATTAAGAATTACGAGCATTATTAAAAAATTAACCTGAAATTAAAATTATATTTGAGATAAGCAAGTTAAATTTTTTTAATAAAATGTTATGGTTATGTGTAATTTTATTCAAAATGTTGATATGATTACAGATTTCAGCGAACACATCATATTAAAGTAAGATAGAATCTTACATGTTGAAAAATTCATAACAATAATGTTAATCAAAATTTTTAGAGAAGTCTTACTAGAAAATAAAAGATAATTTTAGAATTTTGAAACAAACTAATATCAACATTTTTTAATGAGGTTTTAATATCGTAATTCAAAAAAATACTATATACTAGAAAATGAAATCCTATCATGAAATTTCTATCAAAATAATTAATTTAAGAAATAGATATTTGAATCAAAACGTTAATTTTAGATATTTGATATCTAAAATTAACGTTTTTTTGAAATTTTCTTTCTGTGATTATTATTTTTTCATGTAAATTTTAAATTCACTTCAATCTATGTGTAAGATTTGAAAAACGTGCAGATTATTTTACTATCAGTATCAAAATTTATACACTTGGAGATAAGCTTTACTTTACATTTTTTGATGTAAATTTTCATAAGTTGGGTTAAAATCTGTTGAAATGATTTAATTATCGAACCTGAAGAATGTTTTTTCACTTATTTGCATGCAATGTAGATATTCTACGTACATGTGAATCACTATACAGTAATTGGCTTTCAAGGATCAAATTTTTTGTAGATTTTCTAATTTTCATCAATACCATGCATATATTATACAGCAATTTTTCAATCAACTCAATTCTTGAATTTCAAACCATAACTCACTTACCAGTATCTCAAATTGAATTACTAAGGACGAGCTATACTATATACATTAGTAATGCATTTTGTCTAGTTTACGCTAGACATGCAAGACTTTTTTTTGGTATATATTTGTCATTTTCAATCTCCGGCTGATAAAGCAAGAAATGAATAGCTCACGAAGGTATGTACAATTTTTGACCTAAACAATTCCTCATGGCCAAAAAGCATATGGACTATTAAGCTATTAATCGACATAGTCTTGTAGTAATTTTAGAGTGTTAAGCATAACCAAAAAAAAACAACGTTCAAATATGATACTTGAAGATATGACCATGGAAAATTTTTAGAAAATACATGAACTTAGATTACATATAGATAGATACATACACATTTAAACTAAAATTCTCAAATTAGTGTCTTTGTAGACACTATTAGAATAAATGAGTTAAGTGAAGTACTATATATATATAGACTTTTCATATTAACAATTTATATTATGATGTGAAAGATATATGCAAAATAAGAATAAATTATATTTTGTAAAATTATAAGCTTTATATATTTATAAAATTTTCAAAGGATGGATTGAAATATAATTTATATGTATGAAACGAAGTATTTCAAATCCAAAATTCACGTAATGTTTCTTCATGAACTAAGATTGTATGATGGTTTTTGTGTAAAATATTACATGATTATTCATTAATTACGAGCCTTAGAAATGAACTAGGATTAATATGATTATACGTGTAATTTTTTTCCAATTAGTCTTGCTTTAAATACACAAAGATGACATATTGACAAAGATACATACATGTATTTCAAATATTCAAACATTCATAACTGACTTTTTAACGCACAAGTATCTAAACAGAAATTTATAAAATTTGATTTATGATACATAAAACATGTTAATGATATGTGGTGTAAAATCTAAATGATCAACATGTTTTTAGATCTGATATGTGTTAAAAAATCGAACAGGAGAACTCAAACGATAGTAAATATTAAAATTTCCAACCAAACAATTACGGTATTAATCCATATTGAAATTTAGAGATTTGTTGTCAAAGTTGTAATTCTTTCTAATGATACTAGAAATTTTAATATTAAAAACTTCAATCTGCTATTTTACCTCTTGTCATAAATGCGCTCAAGTTTGCAAATATGACACATGTATGCATGCTATATTCACAATGTAAGAGCAAAACGTACTTTTAGCAAATTATGCTATATTTTGAACAATGATATCTGAAAACCTTAATCTCATTAGTAAGACTAATAACTTTCAGTATATATATATATACTTACTTTATGTGTAGAAACTTATTAACTTCATCTTTTAAAATTATAGTTGTTAAAGTAATCTGAAATCTTGAGATTTCATCGTTCAGAAGTTCTTTAATTCAAATAAACAGATTTTAATTCATGTACAAGTTAAAGTAAAGAAATTTATGAGACACTACTCATGAAAAAATAAAGCTAACATCACAAAGTGAAGCAAAGTGAGTGGAGTGTTGCAAAAGATGGAGAGAAAAATATCCAACAATCCATGATCGGATAATTTTACTTCAGCTCCTCTTTCGGGCTTGAAAAGCTCTTCAAAGTTGGGACATTCCTGTGCGTGGATCAAGCAACATGTATAATGTTGACTGCGCTCCTTCGCGACCATGTGGACAACACGGATATTATCTTGCACCGAAAATCTTAATGACGTAGAAATCGAGTTGCATCTTGAAGTACAATGGAACTTGGAACCTCATCCAGCAACGTTTCTGGAAATCCAGTTGCCTACGATCACAAGGATGAGCTGAACATATTGTCACCCTCTATTCACCACCTTCCGCTTACTTCCAATTGCGTTCTATCACACTCGCTTATCTCTTTGAGTTAGAGACCCCTGTCCCAGCCTCGATCGGTCCAGCTCACGAGTCACCCTTTTTCAAGACCAGTTGTCGTGAATACACACGTCTCTCCAGTTATACATCAGTTCAAGCGCAATCATCGTGGCAAGCAAGGCGGCCGGATTGCCTGGACCGGCCAGGTGCCAAGAGAAACTGCTAACAACACGAGTAAAATACCAAGCCGAAATATCGGCACAGCACGCTCTGTAGCAATTTTTGCTGTAGATAAGACAGCAAACAGAAGTAGGAGGGAAGCGAAGTGCATTTGTTCACTAGAAACGTGAGTATCCTTCATGGGTTGCGTGCTCTTTTATTCAGCACGAGGTGACTGGGGATCAATCGGCGAACATGTCCCATCTGTGATGGCTCATTGCTCTCTTTGTCAATGCAGTGTGTCAATCTGAAGAAGAGTCCTTGCCGCCCCATACCCTTCAGCGATTTTTCAATTAGATGAAAATAATTATCAAACATGATTTCCAGTCGCATTGGAGATCATATTGCGAATTACTATGAAGACGGATATAGAGAGTACTGAAAATGGCCAGTCCATGGTACATTCAGCCGGAAAATATTAAAATTTATGTATAAAACCCAAGACAACGCAATTTGCATTGCGGCAGCATGGGATCTGGAATATATTCCCTTTCAAGCTTCTATATAAGCCGGGAATAGCAAGGTTTCTATTGTGCTGTCTGTGATTTAGCATTGAGGTTGATTTCGGCTCTTTCCAAAAGAGCTGAAAGCTCCTTACAGATGATCCTCAAGCCTAACGATCGATCAATGAGTTGTTAGACTAGAGCTTGAACTCTATGATCTTGCAAGCGCTTGGTGGGGAAATCTTTTTCATTGTATAGCAGACTGTATGGTCTTTTCCTCATATGCTTGAAGTTCTAAAGTATCTTCAGCTTGGAATTCCTCAGAAGCTGCGTTTTCTCATTCAGTTCATGACCGCATGTCTCGTATGGAGATCTGGATTCAGCTTTCTTCGTCCTTCCTGGACGGTCTCAGATAGATTATTTGTTTATCCATTCAGCTCACAATGCTTTCCCCGAGCATTCCCTTTGCATTCTCCTCAACCCTCACAATATTGCTGCTAACCTGCCCCTTCCCAACGAGCTGGGCCAGGATTTTCTCACATGATGGGGGCACGGATGGAGGACCATTCAATTACACGGTTTATTACCCGTGGCAGTTGCAACAGGAGGATCAAGGATGTACAGCTGCATCGATGGGCACCCTCATGTCTCCAAATAAGAATTACATCGTGAAGCTGAACGTAGTCTGTCCAGATCGTACCATGGACCCTTGGAATCTGAGCTTTGTGGCTGGAGTGGGCAGGCGATTTGCTGACCTGTTTCAAACTGATGGTACTCTAGAGTTTCCTCCTCAGGACTGGGCATGGACAGTTCCAGTGAGTTTCGATCAGCCGACAAACAGCTGTGCCTTGCGATTTACCGAAAGCGGAGACCTCCAGTTTGTGGTACCAAATCTGAAGCGAGGACATAATCCTAATCCCCCATGGACGCTGGAACGCATAGTCTGGAGTACGAACACGAGTGGAAAAGGCGCTGTTGCTGTGCAGGTCCAGGACTCTGGTAATCTGGTTCTGGTACATTCTGATGGAAAGACGGTTTTGTGGAAAGCTTTAGATATACCTCTCCTGCCACTTGCGCCGTTAAATAATGTTGCAAAGTCTCCCGAATGTGTTGCCCTGACAATGTCTTTGGCTCTGTGCGTCACTGCTTTCTTCCTTGGTCTCATTTAGGCTGAATTTGGAGATTTATCGCTAGAAGGGTGTCATTTACATTTACATATTTCTTAGCTTCCAGACAGACGGAGACAGAGAGAAAATCAATTGGTCTTTGATCAAACGAGACTCATATGAGGGTTCAAACGTTCGAGTTGAAGTTGCATTACAGAAAATCATTTTGGTTGGTGCTCAATGCAAATCAACTCAACATTGTGCAGGCATTTGGATTCGATTCTTTACTTCGGGTTCATCTTTGATGTACATATATACTATTCAGTAACTTCATTCTGGATTGAATTTCTGGATTTTGGAAGGTTCGAGTCAAGTCTAGTATTTTCCTGTCGCTGCTAAGTATTGAACATGGCAACCCGTGCATTTGTAATTAGAAATCTGAAAGCGACTATGGACAGAGATCTTTCAAGGACAGCGACGCAGGAGATAAATTATGGTGTCTATAATGAATACTTGCATACCTACTCATGAACTCAAAATCGCAGGGTTTTGACAAAAACTCCGAACTCTTCGGCGCTGACTGTGTATCGAACCTTTTCCTGGGGAAAACAGTTGGAGCATCTTCTCTCGCAGGTCAGAAAAAAAGGTTTAAATTAATACGGAGTTACGTAAAAGTATGAGCGAGCGCCCTGGAAGTGGTGGTCAAGACTTCTATGTATGAGCTAGATAAGCGCTAGATAAGATTTCTTGCACGACGAGCTTCCCGTGGTTACGTTCATAGTGTTGAAGCACAAGAGGTGGACATTAAGCGTGTTCCTGACCGACACACACATTCGTAACGTAATGCATGCGAAGCTGAAGTGAGTGCACCTCTAAGTTCCATGTGGCTAGTGTGATCTGAGATAGAATATTGAAGATCCACTGCAGTTGAAGTTTGTCGACGCCACCTAGTCCGCCACCAGGTTCCTAGCAGTGAGCTATGGCTTTCATGCAACAGGTGCGTGACTTCATGTCTTGAACCGCCGGCTGCACTGAACCGTGAAGAAGTCAATCTTGCCCTCATAAGCAGAGCAGTTCTCTCAAGTATCACCTGAGGGGGTAATGACGGGATTAACGGCCATGGCTGTTTTTGAGATTCCTTTGGTAGGGAAGCGTCAGTGGTGCCCATTGTCGGTAAATGGCATTTGGCCAGATATTTGCCATTATCCATGCAGTTTCAACAATGCATGTAATATGTACATGTGGACACAGGGTTTTAGGTCTCTTCAACCAAATAATTTGTAAGCGTTAAATTGCATCACTTGATGAGATAAATTCTGAAGCTTTTAATATGAATGTTTCATCTTTATGATATTAAATAATATGTGTTTAATTTAAGAATAATATTTGATTCATGGATGAGTATTATAATAGATAGTTTTTATTTCAGAGCTTATGTGATAATATTTAAATTATATTTGAAGGTTACATTAAATCAAACTGTGATACATTTTTATTTTTCATTACAGATACATTGAATACTATAGTTAAATATATTTCAAATCCATGAGATCATGATCATCTTATTCTAGAAGTTTTATTTTTTGAATTAATTTTTTTTAACTAAGATTATATTTTGGAAATTTTAATTTTATCATCCATCATAAAAATTTGAAATATATTTTGATGCTGATAAATTATTGTCAAATGAATAAAATAATAAACAAAAGTGTAATATATTGAAACATGTCAATGTTGGTATGATGTCTCCAATAAAAGACGTGAAAAACGTGAATAGGTCAATGAAAACTTTCCTGATAAAGATTTTCCGATAATATACATAATTAAAATGATAAAAAACTTTTGAGATTTCATATAGGGAAAAAAAAATTTGAAGGTATGGATACAAAAAGAATAGATATTTCTTTGTGGAAAAACGTAAATCACACATGATTTTGCTGAGTCACTAAGGAGAAAAATGCCACCACATCAAGCAAAGTATCAAGTACTTAAAAAAATAGTTAGAAAAGAACAATTACACAATTCATGTAAATTTTCGCGGAGTTTTATCATGCGGAGTAAAATTTGCAAAATTTTATCTAATCAATAGAATTGACATTGATTTACTAATCCAAAAATCTTTCAAATTTGTTTTCAAGAAATTCGAAAAAAATTTGTGATTTGTGTCAGTTTTCTTCTCATATGATATCAATTCAATGATATCAATTACCTTTGAAAAATGACAAATAGATTTTCTAGGATCTTTAAACCTTACTTTAAAAACAAGATATATATGTTTTGATAGCTATAATTATCTTGCCAAATGAGCATAACCTATACTTATCATATCGAATAGTGCAAAAAATAAGTAGATTTTCATATAAGGGAATATTAATTAGATTTGAAAGATCAAATCTGAAGCTTGTATGACATAAAGTACGTAAGTTTGTATAAATAATTACACAAGTTATATTTGAACATTGTTCTAGTAAAACCTTAATAATCATTTCTTGAGAATTTAATCTGACATGTTAGCAAAAATAATCAACTATACATTTTGTATGATAAACGAAAAAAATTTAAAAATTTTCATGAAAATCGATTGAACTAACTTAATTTATCTAAGAAAAATTGAAATGTTTCAATAAAGTAGAGACCATCAAATGCATTTCTAAATCCTATACTTTTGAAATTGTAGCAAGTTTGAACTCTGCTGATAATATGCTTGAAGAAAATTTAACAATTACAGAACACTTAACATAATCATTGACTTAGAACGTATTTGCTCAAGATTTTGAAAAACAATCATTGATGATACTTTTGATTTATTATAATATTGAATAATTAAAAAAGTACATTCAGGTCATATTGTGTTATTATTCAATAGTCTAAAAAATATTGAAATTTCTTATCAAAATTCAAAATTTAAATTCATGATGCCTTGATTTGAGTGATCACGACAAGGGGAAAATACTTTATTGATAATCACAATCTTACACTAAGACAACTTCGTTGCATGTGCATAATTTTGCTTTTGTATCATAGTTCGGACGTATATAATTTTCTTGAAATAATTTTGAAAATTACATTGTTCAAATCTTCCCATCATCAATCTACTTTTACTTGCATTTGATTATTTGAAGTTTTTTATGAAAATTGTATCATATTTTATAATTGGATTATCAAACCAAGCCGCCATTCAAAAGAAATTAAAGCTTTTTTTCAAATACAATCGTAAATTTTTAAATTTTATCTAGTTTCTTTTTAATTGTAATGTTTACTTCCCAGATTTTTTTTAAGATTATTTCAACCATTTTACATGAAAAAATCTAAACTCCTATGTATAAATTTGATAAGAATTTTTATTTTATTTCTTTAATAAAAAACTATAAACTAAAAACTTATACAAATATGTGTTTATATGTAAATATTATGTGAAATTGTTTTTACCAAAAAAATATGGTTATGATTTATGCATGAATTCTTTTTATGGTTTGTTGCAATCTTGCACTATTGTTTTTATATCAACTTGAATCTACAAGCTTGCACTCAAAATGAATTCTAATGAGTAAATTATTACCTTCGAAAAGATCTTGAATTATAATTTTGAATATGAACAGGTGGCTTGCAACCTTGACATTTTAATCGTATATCAATTTGTAGTTATCAATCCCTACAAAAAAAATTCCAAATTTCAAATTTTAGTTTTCAAATAATATCAGTTTTAAATTTTTTGATTGTCAAGTTCATCTTATCAGAACTTTATAACTCTCCTTAAATCATACAAAACGTTATATTTGTATATAAATTTACTTTGAATTTTGTGTTAAATTCTTACTACACTTTTTTGATTAAAACAACCAGTAAAGTGTACTTTTACTTCTCATTAGTGTAATTTTTGACCCTATTTTCTCCCAGTCATTGTTTTTTGTAGAAAAAATTCGTTTGTAATGTCATGACAACGTGTTTTATTTAGCTTTAGAAGTTCTTTCCATCATCATTTATTTTTTCTTTTAATCATCTTCAATCAATGTAAACTTAATTTGTCATTTCAAGGTTTCAGTAATCAATACATGTATAGTCTTAGTTGTTTATTTTTATATCCAATGCTAGTTTCATTGCACTTTGTTAATACTTTTTGTTTCGCCTTTTTCAAAGTATGATAGTTATTTCTTTAGTTGTTTAATTCCATATGTTGATCTTTTTTTATGTCATGGAATTTTTTAAAAAATTCACACTTTTATCAACACTTCATGTCAATTTTGTATAAATATTTGTAGTTTGATTCATGTAGTACAATGATCTCTGTAAGTTCTCACAAAATTTATCTTAGGTGATTTTTGAATAGCTTCTCATGATCATATATGTTCATGCATGTCCAAGTGTCCAAACACTCTTCACACAATAAGTTTATTCGTCACTCAACCAAAACTTTTGATGATACAAACGTTCATACAAAAGTATATATAAATTTGCTTACCATGAACTACTCAAACTAAATTTAACAATAGTATTGAATGTTAATTTCAACTTATAAAATATCTATAGTTGGCTACTCAAACTTGATAGTTAAACTTTTCATGCTGAAAAAATCCTTATCAACTTTTTGATTAAATTGTACAATTAAAAATCTTACAATATCAATTTATATCAATATCTTTATTTTTATTATGCATCATTTTCAATGAAAAATAATAAAAATATTTGGATTATTTTGTATTAGGTCTTTTTAAACCATTTCACATGAGTTTGTATTAATTTTGTATCAGTACTTTCATCATTATTTTACATCACTTTGTAGCAGTTTTCTATGAAAAAATTATATAAATGTTGATAATTTATATTAATTTTTGTTTAATCATTTTATATTTGTTATTGTAAAAAAATTTTGTAGCTATTGAAATAGATATTCACACATCCATTTGATCATTAACAAAACTTATTTTCTTTTGTTTTGATAATGAATGTGTTATATAATAAAAAATTATTAAATTTTATGGCTGAAAATAAATCTTAATATGATAATTCCTACTTGATAAAATAGATAAATGATCCTCAAAAAATTATTGATGAGCATCATCACTTTTGTTTAACAAGAGAAAAAAAGTTTTATGTTATTACATAAAACTCTTTGCTAAACAATATTGTTGCTTGATTATTTTGACTAATATAAACAGTGAATTAATTGGATCAATTAAAATCATTTGATAAATTGAACCAAAAAGTAATAGTTTTGATTTGATATAGTGTTGTGCCCTTACATAGCTATTTGGAAAATATGGAAATATGGAAAATATAATGGCTCAAGTGATCTCATAGTCTGCTAGTATTCAATATATCATTTGTTTCAAGAATGATAAAAAAGACAAGTTGTTTAAGTATGGATGACCTTTGACAAATTATGATGAGATTTCACGAAATTAAACATTCAGAAATGCAGTGAGATTCAGAGTAAAAGGATAAAAATTAAAAAAAAGATTTGATTAAGACATTATAATAGAAGACTTCAAATTTATTGCATTCATGTTTTTGTGATGAATGTTTAGATTTCTTATCGACAATATTTTGAATCTGATTGATGATTGTTTTTCAAGGCATATGATATATAATTTAGAATTTCATTTAACTGTCTATAATTTTGACCATGTATTTTGAATCTTAAAAATAATATAAAAATAAAAAATAATTTATATTAGTAAAAAAAATTTATTCTAAAAGGTATACTGAAACATTTTATAATCATTGGATTTAGATCCATAATCATCGTTTTTTTCTAAATTTATAAAATTTAGAAATTAGATTTTTTTACCAAAATATTACTTTCACACTTTCAAATTCCAATTTTCTGATAGCTTTAATTTATCAATAGACACCTAGATTTTTAGAATAATATTTTATTAAAATTCATCTATCCAAATTTATTTAATAATATTTGGTTTTCTATATTATTATTTTTAATACTTTCATTCAAATAAATTTTTTTTAAGCTGTAGGTAATATAACTTATAAGATGATTGAAATATTTTTTTGGCAGATCTAAGATTTTATGAATTCTAAGACATATTTAGAAAAAATGCCTTTATAACTAAATAGCTCAACTATATGTTTTTGAAGTTGAAAACTTTGTGTAATTAAAATAGAAAATTCAAATGAATTGAAGAAACTTTTTGTGCAAATTAAAAATTGCAACAGTAAATGCATTAACTATCATGATATAAGTAGAATAGCCATGAATTTTGTTTCATCATGTTTTTCTAAATTTGTTTTCAGGAGGAAGCTTAAATGGTACGATATATATTGTAAAATTTGATAGTGATTGAAATAATTTTTTAAATGGTATTTTATATGGTTTATGCTGAATATGTGATATTATTGCATGATATATATTCATGATTATTATAATAATTGACAAAATTTTATAAAATATTTTAAAATTTCGATGTTTTTTGAAATTTATTTTAGACAAATTATGAATGAAATTTTGATTTGTGAGTAAGAACAATCGTTTCTAATTGTTTGCAAAGTTCAAATAATCAAGTTTCATCACATGAAATAGCCAAGTGTATATATATGAAAAAAAAACGAGAAGTGACACTCACTTGAAATAATTTCACAAGCAATATATAATCATAAACTTTTTATATCATAAGTATAGCAATCTCAATGCAATCATGCTAAGTGGCATTTTAATAACTTGAAATTTGATTGAAGATGTTGACATGTTTTAGTGACATCAACATGTGAACATAAGAATGTTTAGGTTACACATCAATAACAATTTATCATGTATATTAAAAAAAAAAGATTTCTTTCAAGTTTCAACATTGTTAAAAAAAAGATATAGAATAATCAATATTGATCATTACAATAGCTATATATTGAATAGCTATTTTATATATCTATTTGAAATTTAATCCATATCGTCGGTTTTTTCATGAAAGATTTTTTTAAGTTTCGATTAACTAAGGGCTTTAATTCTAAAATTCATTTCAAGAACAATAATATATATAAGAGACATCTGCAACACATTTGTCAAAACTACTTATTATATGGAACTACATACATAAAATATTATATTTACTATTTACTTAAAATATTATATATGTATTATATTTACTACAAATCTCTATTTTGACATGTTCTAACATACAGCTCATTAACATGTAAATCTCTCCACTTTATCATTCAGAATAATAACTTGCATTCTGCATAAGGTAACAATCAGTTGAGATGATTAATCATCTAATAATCATGTTGTTTCTTCAAGACATGATTTAAATGATGTATGATACTAGTATAACGTGTATGTTGGATCTCTTAGATATGATAAAATGAAAACCGCTAGTTATACTTCAATTTATTCGTTCATCTTACATAAATGATCTAATAATAGAATTATGTGATTGGTCAGAGAGATCTCATTTCAAAATGAACAATATCGATACACAATCTTGTGTGTTCCATAGTAACAAACCAGAGTACTCGCCAGAGCAACACATCCAACAACATAATACTGGCTGTGAAATAATCAAAGATCAAAAGCAAAATAGTTTGTAGGGTGAAAAATGATAAAACTAAATTAAAAGATAATGAATTGATTATATATATATATATATATAATTTTGTAATCAAATTCACGTTTCGTGAATGGATTAAAATATTGAGATAGGATCATGTCTTATACCAATCTAATTAACCTTAACCGAGTGAATTTAACACTCTGAATCTTAACACGCTCTAAGACTAAATAACCGACAGTGAATAGGCAAACTGGGCGAGATATGAGAGCACAAAACACCCGATAATGCTGTTCCAAATAACGAAGACATGAAAGTAAACCATATTCGAGGGAACAAATAGAACAGCCCAACTAACGTGATTCATTTTAAGAGACTTTGGAGGTGCGGGGTATCGATCCCCGTGCCTATCGCATGCAAAGCGATCGCTCTACCATGTGAGCTACACCCCCTTTGTTCTGTTCGGTGTTTATTTGATAATATAGTTATCATATAGTTATAGAAATAGGAAGCAAAAACAAAGTCCGCGCAAAGACGAAGAAAGTAATGTTTCTGAATATTTCCCGATTTTTTCTGTCTTACTTCTCATTACTGTACATGTATAAATGTAAGGTAATTAGATCTGTGTTACATCACTGGGAAGCATTTGACGCTAGTACCCAGAAACACAACTCGAAACAGAAATATGGTGAGAAGCAAATCACTACGCTCAGGTCATGTCCGCTAACGGCTTTGTCGCGTACTCAAGGATAGAGAACATGAGAACAAAACACACAGAGGCGATCTATGCTTTCCAATTGTGATGCTATTTGGGGTTAGTCCCATCTTAACCCCTTTTGTTTCATGTATGGTAATTCCAGTACTTTTTGTTACATTTACTTTTCCGTATGTCTTTCCTTCACTTTAGACTCCAAGAAATATCAGAAGTTGTCCGCAAGGACTGTCAATTATGATTTACAGCTGGCTATCACAAGAGGGGTCTTCGCCACACTCACTCACATAGTTTGTTTACCTGATGTTCCAAAAATCACAACTCTTATTGTTCAACTTCAAGGTAAAATTACAAAAGTTTCTCCGCGTGTCGGTCTACCATCTTCGAGATTCCGCCAACATTCGCCGTCTCTCGTTTACATACACAAAGTTTAAGGCACAACATCATAGTTTGATGATATTTTCTTCTCTGCTTTCTTGTCAAATTGCTCTCGTACAGGAGGTTTATTCTCTCGATTGATTTGTTCTGTCTTGCTGGTTACATGAGGATTCACAGCTCCTTGTTATTTTTTCTTTGGATCTACTTCAGTTTGCATCCAACCGAATCCGATTATACGTTTGTCATCCATTACTAACTACCATCACAGACTACAAGCCTAATACTGTACTTCTAGATGCCAGCAGATATTGGCCTTGTCGAAGGACATATTTCATGCTCCTGGATGGTGGATCGGGATACGCCTCCATCATCGAGTTCGAGTGCTGAACCTCGCCGATTCTTGCAAGGGGGCAACCCAGATCCAGCGATGGCCCAGAGCAACCTCGGACTCAAACCCGACATGCTGGCGTCCTCGATCGGGACCCGGTTCTGCTAATGCATCACGAGCTTCTCAGCGGAGACAGCTGGTTCACGCCCGTGGCCCCCGGGAACGACACTCTGCTGCCGTTCAAGCTTGTGGACCAGGGTTTCGATGTGTGGATTGGCCACGAGCGGGCGACGCTCTGGGAGCCAGGGCATCGAAATCTCACTCGCGACGATGCAACACAATCTCCCCGTCTAAATACATTTGTGCGCCCTTTGCAAGTATCTGCTGGCTATTGTAAATGACTCATACATTGTAAATGAACGATACATTGATGCAGGAGTACTGGAATTGGACTTGGGATCAACACGTAGAGCACGACGTGCCGAACCTGCTGACACATATCCGCGACGAGACCGGCTCCACAGTTCACTACGTCGGCGTTTCTCTGGTGACTGATTTCGTCCGATTTCGTCCGACCAGGGCGTCGAACTCGAGCTAACCTACCGTGATGGATGTCTTTGTGCAGAGCGCTGCAGTCGGGGCGGCCGCGGCCACGAACGCCGGAGTCGCAAGTCACATGTAATCTATGACTATGATAGCTCCCGCCGTCTATGGGGGAAAGACAACTTCTGCCGTCGTGGAAGAGTGAGATCCCGTTCTGTCTCGCTCGGTGAGACCTCCCACCACCTTCCCCCATTATTGTTAATGTTTAATGGTAGACTTGATAGTGCCGCATACGGGAGTGGATTGCCATTAGAGAATCGACGATGAAAGGTAATGACACGCTTATTTGCAATTACAGGAGTCGAGCATGAGCGACAACGAATGGCACGACAGCAGTCTCAAACCATTCTGCCTTCAGAGATGAGTAAGTAAAGCAGTAGCACGCTCGAGGCGACGGACTTCTGCATGCATCGACGTGAATTCGAGAATCTTCGATCTATCGACGGTCGGGTCTGCAGTTAAGAAAGTGGGATGAGTTTGGTGAAGTTAAGAAAGAGCGGGAACTAATACAGAATTCGTGACGTTGCAGGGAGTTCCATGTAGATGCCATTGCTTTGACGGGCCCGCGTCTCGTTTGCGGCTCGCCATCTCGAACATTCCTCGCACCCGAGTTCTTTAGAACTATGGGCTATATCCATACTTTTCCCTCAATGTATCGTTTGCGGTATTGAAATCAAATCTCATTGTGTACACAATGAAGGCCCCGATTGCTGTCTAGGTCCAACTCCATCCCACACGCTATCGAGCGAGACCACATTGGGACCTAGGCAGCAATCAGGTCCTTCATTGTGTACATGCAGGCAAAGCCCAGGGAACACGGTCAGATTTCATTCCGATGAGCAATTCGACTACGGGTCAGCAAACTTGAATGCGCTAGCATACAACAGCAAAACCGAGAATCGAACGTACGAGCGGAGTGCTGGAATTCATGAGCTTGACGCAGAAAATGCCGCAGTCACTGTACCTGCCTCACTACGCACACTTCGATCAATCTCTGAGCCCGCACCGGGCGGACGATGTGTATGGGTCGATCACAGCGTTTCTTCGAGACCAATACGGACATGAATAACCCTACTACTGATGAAACCAATTTACGATAGTCCCAGTAGTGATAGTAGGCTGTAATATATATTTGAATAAGCAGCAGCTGTTGCCGGAGGCTTAATGCCGTCATGGACTCGGACGATTAGTCCGAGTAGTAGTACATAGCTTTAGGTACTGTACTAGTATATAGCAGTACGTGCAGCAGGTACAGCTGTTGCCCCTTTCCATATTCATGTGGAGATAGCCACAATTTACTTGTTTACTTTACGGAAATCATGCTCTAACGAGTCATGTAACACTTCACATTTGTCGCTGTATCCATTCAGAGCATGTGAACAAGTCACTTGTGCACTCGTCTTTCGAACCTTCATGAAATAGATATAAATGTCTAGTATCTATCTATTTTAGAGATGTGATCGAACACAAAATTATTACAATATACGCTGATTTTCAAATAAATTACAGATTATATAAGGATGACTAAGTTTATGATGTCATTCAGGTTTGAAACTATAACAGTGCTATTCATATAATTTCAAATAAATGCAAGTCATTATCAAGGATCAAGAAACAGTCGCCACGGGCGAGGTTGGGCTCATTCATTAGAAATAAGCCATTTCTACTGAATTCATTTCAAACGACCCACTCCTCGTCTAACAAGCATTTACATCATGCTAGAAACTTACAAAAGTAAGACACATTCTGAGGTGCAATCTTATCGACTGGTATGTACTGTGTCAGGAGAAAAAAAGTACAGATATATGAACATCTGGGCTTAGCCGCAATGTAAATGAGTGGTAGTCGAAGGTTAATGGAGCTCCAGAAGTGACATATGATCTAAGTATGACCTGCTTCGCCACATATTAAGGGAGATGCGGGAGATGAGCATCCAGCTGAGTTACTCCTGATTTGGCAGATGGATCACTGGTTAAGGTTTCATGGACGCTAATCGCACTTTTTTGGATGATAATGTTGCAAACGATGAAAGGCAATGAACAATTATTGCGAAAAAAGGACCCTAATACCCATCGACTTGTCCAGTCATGTAGATGCTAATCATCGTCTTGTCAAATCATTGGCAAATCATTTTGTCCACCTAACTACTCTGATTAATAAAGCAAGCATCGAACTTGACTCTCTATTTCTTCTTGCAAGATAAACTCGATTGTAATAAATGATCGCACCAACTTTGAAGACAACTTGTTTCAATCTAGTAACATGCAAGCGTGCATATAAGAGGAAAAACAGCAGGAGCTCAAAGTAAGTTATTTCCTTAACGTCCGGAACTAGTACTATACCTAATTTGTCACACTTTGATGTGATGTAACTCACACTGGTCTTAGTTATTCTCAAGGACTCAAGATTGAATTTAATGATATTTTCCAGGTGTCTATTTTACTAAATAGATTGCTATGATCTTTCATTTTTTTATCTCTACTTTTCAGAAAATAGAAGAAAATAATTAATTATCAATATAAAAAAATAAATTTACAGGATTCTTGTATATTTCATACTTTTCATGATGATTAATAATATTAATAACGATATTTATATCGGCCGCCCTAGCTCAGTTGGTAGAGCGCAAGGCTCTTAACCTTGTGGTCGGGGGTTCGAGCCCCCCGGGCGGCGATGGAGGGTGAACGTAGTTAAATGTTGCACTCTTACCTTTTGACACAACTCCCTCTATTATTGGAAAGTTATGAAACTATGTACATTGTAAATTTATGAATTGTTATAAACAGGTAAAATTTCATTTCGATAGTAAGTAATAAATTTTCTTATTACATTTTTGTGTAAAATATATTTACATATATATATTGAGCTAGATTATTCAATTAAATAATGAAATTAACAATGAACAATGTTACACATTCATGTACCTTTAATGAAGTTGGAAAAGATTATAAAAGTTATTTATGAGTTCCATTTTGATCAAATTATACTAAAGAGGTCCGGAATGTCCTCTTAATTTATGTTTCAGCTCACAGTCAATTTCATGATATGAACTGGTATAAAACTATTCATACTACTTACGAGAACTTAATGCCAGTCGTTTTTTCAAACTTTATCTTTTTTGTCAAAGAAAAACCTCCGAGATTAGCATGAATGACGACTACATAAGTACCAATTGTATCGAATCATGATTAATCAGATTATATTTGTGAAAACTTGCAACATGTAATTTTTTTCCTTCAGTTTGTAGATCTTATCTGTAGACAAAGGACTTTTTCTGATCAAAACAAAAACTCTATAATTCAAACTACTTGTACTTGTAAAATTCTTTGATTTGTAAATAAACTGAAAAGTCGTTACTTTTTTACAAAAGAGAAACATTCAGACGTACAATATTTTATAGACCAATTTTCATTTAACTTCTTTGTCTAATGGTGTGATTTTGGATCAAAGGTTTCATATGTCCGTAGTATTTGTATACAGAAATTTTTTTAACAAAATCAGATAAGTGGAAGTATGGTGCAAGTGGAAGAGGGAAAACGATTGAAACAAAATTAAATATATGTTTTTAACTCTACTGGTTGTAACAAACTGGCCAGATTAATTTTAAATATGAATACATAAGTATGCATCTTATTTGAACTCATCAGTAGAAAAGAGATTTTTTCGTCTGAAAACCGTTTTTAAGAGTGGGTATTGGAAATTCTATTACATTTATTATTTTTCCCTTGACAAACATAATTTATGATATATAAACTTGTCTTCAGAATGTCGCTAGTCAATTAATACTGGTTCTTTGCTTAAGAGAGCCTGAAACCTTGTCTAGATTACTTCCTTGAAGGGGTAGAGCTTTGATGAAACTCAAACTGAACTTGATGTAGCTCCAAGAGAAAGAAAAGCTTTTATTCTACTCTGTTCTTATTTCTAGAAAAGGTAGAGATTTTATGGAAAATGAAACTGAATGTTTTTAGCCTCGATATTATTGAGAGACTTGAGTAAATGAGGGGTACAAATGCTTTATTGCCTAAAAGTCCTTGATGTTAGAATGTTTTCCTTGTACGTGTTTCATGCTGTGCCAGTCTCTCCTATCCAATTCGGCTCCTTTTTTTATGCTTCATGGCTTGTATAGGAGTTCCATGTGATCCATGTGAAAGTTGGACACCGTGCTTATGATTACTTTAAACATGAAACAAAGATCCGCTCCTGTTTAGAATTAAGCAAAATAGGTTCAATTTACATTTGAAATTAGCTACAAGTCCTTTGGGTCTCTTCAGAATAGCTTTAGATTATTCTGAAAGATCTCTTGATTCTTTGGCAGAAGCAAAACTCTTCAGTCGAAAACTGTACATTACATATATTATATAGTCTTCCGGATAACAGGTTATTAGTCAGTTTTCAAGCCTTTGATAAGAAATAGGATGAATAGGTCAAATTCACATTGGAATATCTAAGCCACTTCTTTGAACTAACGATAAGGTTTTGCTAACCCAACAAGCTGAGAAAAGGGAATTCGATTGTACTCAATATTTTAAAGCAAAACTGAATGTATATTTTCTCGCAAAAAGTAGACAAACTGCTTACCGGTTCATCATAATAAGATCAGGATTAGAGAAGCATAGGAGTGGTCGTATCCAACAAACTTAACCGGCACATTTTTGCCTCCGATATCGGCTTTCTTATTACATTGAGTGGCCAGCTCTGTAAGGCTCGTGGAGTATGTGCTGTAGATAATCTGAATGAGGGGATCTATGGAAAATCCCACCTTGACGAGGAAGGATACGTTGAGATAAGTAAAGCCGCATATTGTGTGCAAAGAAAAGCATAAAAAGGTTGCATACAATATCCAGACAATATGGTAAATGGTAAATGGTAAGATATCGAACATGTGTACTGGAGCTGATTCAGGTTGAGCTTGATTGAGCTGAGTAAGGTCCAATATCTTGCTAGGGAGAAGTCACGATAGTATACCACTTTGCAACATGTTGCATGTTTTTCACTTCAGTCATGTTCATTCAATAAGTTAGCACTGTGGAGGAGAATGGGGTAAGATGTTGACAGTGATACGAAATCTACGGATCAAGCTTCTTAACGCAGTTTCCCCTTCCAAGTAATCGCTCCAAAAAGGATAGAGTTCAGGACTGTGTGGAGTACGGAAAAATCCAGCCGCGACTATGAACATACTAACTATGTGCAAAGGCCTATACAGTTCTCACTGCGAAGTTTGAAAGTAAATCTAGATAGCTGGAACTGGAACATGCGTTCACAATGTTTGCAAAATCCTTGTGGAGTGTAAAAAAATCTGCAAGATAGTCATCTGACTAAATATGCAACAGGTTTCGTCTTTAACACAAGGAGTGAGAGCTTGAAATTGAATATAAGTTCATCTAAGTGAAATCCAAGAAGAACTACTGTCCTAAACACAGAAGAGATATGACACTAAAAATCATAAATTTGATGTCAGAAAAGGTGAACGTTTGTACACTGTCGAGTCGTCAATCCCTTCTACTAACAAGCTTTCGGACTGAACTTGAGATACCTTGTTCAGATGTTTATCTTCTGCTAAATCCCTCTGTGATGGCAGCTTTCTGTTTCAATAATCTCCTTCAACCTGCTCAGCAACCCATTTCCATCCACGAGAAAATTATGAGTACTTTGATGAAGGGTTGGCGAGTCTCTGCAATGGAAGGTTTATAACCAAAAATTGCAGGAAACAGAGAACGGTGGAACCATAAATCCGTCGGAAGATAAGTAGAAGAAAATCACACTCAATCTTCTAACCTGCTGCTGTAGTGCAGAACTCCCAATTTGGAGAACATCGATGTGGCTCTCGACAGTAATGACGGATGTTAGACTGTTGAGTCTGCTTTGTTCTCTTCTAGCTCAACAAATTAACAATTGAATTTCATCTCCTGAACGCTTCCCAAATTCTGAACCTGAAAAGCAAATCCTTGAGATCTGATTGATCATATGTTTCAGTGCAGACGTCAGAAATTCCTCAAACTGTCCCGCTGTTTTGCAGCAGCCATTTGCACAGTCGGTATCACTAAGCCTCACACAGTAAGATTGACTAATAGGATAAATAGAGTTGTGGTGTATGTGTGAAGGATAGTAATCCAAATTTATCACGAGCCAAAGGTTGAAATCTATCTAAGAAACAAATCCATGCGCATTCAGTAATTCCCTGGCCACGTTGTTGATGTGTTTGAACCGGTCTGCACCGAGCAATGTGCCTCCATACCATCGAGAAACAACGACCACAACATTCTTGCATTTGCACATCTCCAGTAGGTGCAACAATCTGCCACCAGCCGCGTTTTCGCCATCATCGTCACAGTCGGAAATAACAGTTTCTCCTTCAATTGCATGCTTCCCCTTGCTGGAACGAGGTTGAACAATTCTATAAGCCAAAATATTATGAGTGGCTTTGGCAATTTTGGGGTTGGAAAGGAGGTACTGCTTCACTTGCTGGACCTCGTGCACTGAAGAAACAGGAGCAACATGAGCGATGAACACAGACTTCCTGTCCACGAGAGGCTCCTTCGAATGGTACACAGGAGGCATATTTGCAGTTAAGTCCTCCTGCTGCTGCTTCACTGAAGGCTCCGCTGGCCGCCCTTCTCTGGACTCAATAGTATCTGGCACTTGTGACAGAATCGCAAATTCTTCTCTGGACGCTTCCCTTCGAAAGCGCTGGACTAATTCAGAATTCTCCACCAGAAATTCGAGCCACGAGTTTTCCATCCAAGTCTTCAACCACTCAATCCACTCGAAGAGTACGACCCCGTGCTCGCTGCCGCCCATGGCTGTGGCGTGAAACATGGCCTGCAGCTCCTCCCTGATAACACAACGATGCTCATTGCTCATCCACGATGGCTGACCGTAGGCCTCCTTCACTTCATATACCGGTGGATCAGCCTTCGGGTATGTCGGAGGCAAGTGGATTTTGACTATCACTGTCGTGGGAGGCACATCTTCATCTTCCGGAGCTACCACAAATCTGACAAGGTATAAAATTTGCTGGTTTCCGCTGTCGATTTGTTGGAGAAAATCCTCCGGGTATATGGACGTCAGCGCCAGCTTCTCCTCCTCCTGCGCTTGCCTGTTCTCGTCCATCACCTCCACAAGTACTCCCGATTGCTCCTTCCTTGAGATGGCTCTCGTCGATGGCTACACTACACAGGTTGGATCTACGATCCCTCACAAAGAAACTTTTGCTTCGCGAGTGTTATTTCATGTGCCCTAGTTCGTCCTATTCCGTCCAAACAACGAGAATTTACAGCCTCTCCTCAATGGGCGATGCTTGTGATCAACAATTCACTGGACGAGCGGTGTACACGAGCTGGAATGGGAGTATACAGAGACATGTAAACATGATGTTGAAATTCACAGTTGACACCAGATACTGGCCTACCCTCCCTGGCTAATTATTCTTGGTGGAACCATTTTTCTCTCGAACATCAGGTTCGAGGGAATCTCATCGCAAGCATCCAATACCAATCCTGTCGATAACAAGAAAACTGATGGGCATTGAGGCACTCCTAAAATGGCTGTGGTGCCAGACCAGTGATCATCTCAGTGGGTATCAACTCTCGTCTAGGGCGACAGGCGTATGAAAGGCGCAGTATCGACACCATATGCAATACAGGATTTCGATTCCATTATCGTCAGAGATAACTTTCCAGTTGTGCATGATGATGAGAACGGCAGGTCTCAGTTTCAATCCTCCAGCTGCTTGCGGCCTCTCTTCACACATCGTTTGAAGTCAGATCCACCTCCAACAGAATGGAAGCCAAGGAAGACAACGCAGAATTGGCTCCACATGGCCTACATTAGCCGTTTATGGTGTGCTTACTTCTCTTACAGAAGCTGACCGAGAATGTCAGGCAGAGTATCCTTCCTGCCTCTATGTTATTATTGCGTACACTGGAGCACTCCTTCGTCACTCTAGACAATGCTTATGTCATCTTCAAAATATATTTACGCTTTGATCAGTCCAAGAACGCTCCGGGTAATCCAGCAGAAATGCTGTGCTGAAAATGCCAAACGCTCTCGGCAGCTTTTCGTGCTGAACGGGCTTCATGTTTGTGCATGACAGTTTAGGCGAACCACAAGGCCCTTCATTTCTTCTGTTCAATTCGGAGGAACGCGAACAACTCCTGTCTCTCTGTGAGAAGTTTCCCTTCCATATGCGATCGTCAACATATGACATGCAAATTAAATCTGCGTAGTACAACTGCTCCTCCTGCTAGATTCTTTTAACAACTTGATATATTCGCTGGAGGATATACCAAGTTGGCAAACAGTTTCAACACAGGCTTCAGAGGTAATAAACTATCAAGAATATATTACAGTACTGGGCAAGAACCAGGAAACAACAGGTTGGAACCCTAAAGGTCCGACAAGGTTTTAACCATGGTACAGGTATGCAGACATGGAAGCATGGGAGCAGAAGACGACCAGATCAGAGTAACATTCGTAATAGAGAAAGATAGTGAGAGAACGAACAATATTTGTAATAGACAATTTTTTGCAGACAGTAGCACTGACTGCATTTGTACATGATATTCTCTCGATTTTAATTGCAAAAGAGAAGGTGTGGTGTGATCTGACTTCTCGATACGTACAGAAAACTGGTAAGCGAGATTTTTTATTACCTTCGTATGCGTCATTGTATTATTGTCCAATCAATGTTTGATACAGTGAAATTTTGAGACCGGGTTTATGTTGCATCACTAAGAGAGTGTACTCGCAAGTACGCATTGGACAAGGCCTGACAGAGGCAGAGGACCATTACAGAGTAAGCATTACAGCGGAAAGAGGTGATGGGCAAACATATCAAAAGACCACTGGTACATGGGGGAGAAGAGCTGGTGTGTACAAACTTGACAACAGTACGGCGGTCATTTCGCACCAAGTCGATCAGTTTCATTTTCATGTTTAAGAATGTCAATTACATCTTGGATACTTTTCTAGAGGCATGTGTTCGAAAAACTGCGCCTTGATGTACATGGCAGAAACTCAATGCACGGAGAATTCATGACAGATACGGTGCTTCAATAAATCAATAATCCCACTGTTGACGACAATCTCAAGTTCCGTCTCGCGTTGATCGGTGCTGTTGGTTCACCATTCAGATCAAATCTAAGACAAAATTCAAAATATTGGCACCACTTCGGCTACTTAGAGACAGGGAAGTTGATCGCCATCAATGTCAGAACCACCAACCATGGAGAAAGCTGATGCTATGACAAACTGCAGAAACTCACCAAAAGAAGTGGCTGAGATAGTCAAGAAGACCTCTTCCTTGATAGACTTCCAACTTCAAAGTCTAAATTGTTCTTCGATCGTTTTGCTCTCAAACATAACTTGGACCTCTTCAACAGCGCAAAGCTAAGGTTCTGAGCAAGTGTCTTCCTGGATTTGAAGTATGTAGTACTTGTTAATCTCAAAGTACGTTTCTCTCTGTCTTTAACAGTAAAAAAAAAGAAGCAAGTGGAATACGGTACAGTAAAGGTTAGTTACTAACTAACATTTCACTCAGTAGTTAGTTAATGAATAGTTTGTATAAGTAAGTAGAGGTTAAACCCTGAATCTTTATTTAAGGTGGCTGATTTAAGGACTTCAGTTTCAGATTTGAGCCATGAGTTCTGTATATATTCCTGAAACAGAGGTAAGGGTCGTATTTTCCTCATATACTTCACACTTTTTGAGTGCTGGATTGTGGAGGAGGGGTGGAGTTCCCAGTCAAGCTAAAATTCTTCGAGCGCTATGTAGAGGGTCATGACATTAGTGTTACTGCACATAGCCAACCTGAGGGTAAGGGTAGTGGGAGTAGGAGCAGGATATTGCCAATCCAGGAGAATTAATAAGAGTATCAGGCAATGCCAGGAATACGTCTCGAAGACACCCTAATCAACCGCTGCATCATATCAAAATATCCTAAAAGTAAACTAAATTTACTAGTGTGTAATCAAAGATCGAAACCAAGGACTTGCTGGTTTTGGTCCGTCGTATTATAACTGGTAACTAAGAAGCTTGAAGTCTGGCGAACATGGTACAATCTGCGAGATATTTGAACAGACCTTGAAGCTGGAAGAAGTTGAAGATTGTATATATCGGGTAGTGGTACAACAATGGAACTATTCTGGATAGACCATTTTCTTAGTTGCGCCCCCATCTATTACAAACTCCTGACCTGTGATGAACCCTGCTCGTTCAGAGTCACAAAGAAAGAAACAAAGATGTGCCACATCATTCGGCACCCCGACTCTTCCTGCTGGATGCCATTCATGGTCTTCAGGCCGTAGGGCTGCATCTCCCGATGGATCAGTGTTTATCCATCCTGGCAAGACTGCATTCACCCGAACCCTTCCTGCGAGCGTGATGGCCTGTTCATAAGATGAATACAAGACTTAATTTACGAGACACTGACAGTACAGATGAGTTCTTATTACTCAGAAAGCTTAGACCTCATATAAAAAAAACCCAGCTACAAAAAGCAGTCACTACATCACCTACTTTTGATCAGCCTAACGCAGTCCAAAGAATAGGTCTTGCTGGATAATCTGATTATAAACTACTGACCGAAAGAAAGCACTGAAAGTGAATAACAATATATCCTTTTGTAACATAAACGATAAATTAAGAAACACAAGCTATGGTACCTATGATCGATGCACTTTCTTTTAAGAACGAGTGCAAACTTGATGATTGTTTTAAAGTGATATGACAAGACTTGTTTATAATCCAGTCACCAGCTCTAAACTCGATTCAGCAGTCGCAAAACAAAAGGGTCTTCCAGTTTTTTACCTGTGCATGCGATAATCCGCATAGTCCAGCTTTAGATGCAGCATAGCCTTCGGTGTTCGGTTCACTTTGCAAAGCACGAGTGCTGGCCATGTGGATAATGCTTGATTGCCCAGCAGGCATGTACGGAAGTACACACTGTGACATATAATACGCTCCGTTCAGATTTACGGCTATCGTATCTGCGAAGGCTTTAATTCGGTTCTCTTCAGCTAACATAGGATTTGTTATTCCTGCAGAGACCAGCAGTCGCATTTAAAAAACCAACAAAAAGATTTTCTTCTCAAACTAGGCTCTGCTAGTTCATGTTCATGTACTGTAACATCAACGCATAAATTATTTAAAAGTTGAAACTTTTCACTCACTGTTTCACTCAACTTGATCAACGTTTTCATTTTTCATTCCTGTTAAACGGAGCCAGCATACCAGCATTGTTGATCAGGACGTGTATTGCACCACCGAACTTTTCGATTGCTTCATCTACAATCCGCTTGGCTTGGAGCGGATCGCTGATATCCGCACGAACAAAATAAAATCTATCTGCCGAATGCTTTACAATTGGATCTTCCTCAAACCGTCCTTCTGTAACTTTAAGCTCCAGCTCTTTTACGTCAGCACCTACAACTTTATAGCCCTGTTGGACAAGATAAACAGACAAAAGGTTTCGTCACAAGTACAATATTCGTAGGACCAAAGACCTTAAGAGTTTGACAAGACCATTGTGAGAACATTGAGGCCCAGAAGGAGAATGATCCACACTTATACACGGTGGTTGAGCTAAACCGATAAAGAGCACGAATGAGACACCTATGGAACAAATCAGGTATAAACCATCATAAAGAGCAACACTACTCTGTCTGGTAGATTGGAGGACCAGCACTGCAGAAAAAACTTCATTCGGGTATTAGAAATCTTTCCTTGCGTTCAAAACTGCAGAAAACCGAGAATCGGTTGGTATAAGACTGCAATTTAAGAGCATCAAGTGTTATGTCAAAAGTTGTGGGCTGCTCGAGTAGCTTACTTACATTCTTCAAAAAATGGTGAACAAGGATTCTCCCTATACCGGTAGACCTTGCTACTCCCGTTATGATTGCACACCGATCACTTGGAGGAGGCGAATTTTCTACATCCATCTTGGCCGATACAGAGAAACTATGTGTGCTGCACTGATGAGAATCAAAGGCTGTCGACTGCACGAGTTTCCTTTTATTGCTGTTGATAACTCTCAAGGAGCTCTGGCCTGAGCTTAGGGGCTGCTTGGATATAGAATGCGCTTTACAGAGAGATATCTGTGAATGTACCGATAGCATACCCTGGAATACTGCACTAGCAGTGAATGTCGAGTTTCTCTGAAAGAAACCAAAGGACTCACATGTTAGCCTCCAGGAGTCGCTTAAACTGGACGACCAGGAAAGCGACTTCTCCACTTCAGTCCACCACAATGTCAGACCAAAAGCATGGTGAGAACAGCTTTCAAGTTATTGAGCCTCTCTCTCTCGCCTTTTTCGAAACTAAACAACCCTAAACAGTCTATGTTCGAGATGAAGACAGCACCATGAACAGACGACTTCCTGAGAAGATTACACACATCAACACCAATTTTCCAATTCACCCTGAAAACCTCTTACTGGACTCATATCTAAATCCTTGACGAGCAATCCAATCTTCCCCACAGTCAAACAGAGCCTTAAGGGCCATATCAAGCTGAGAAACATGGCAGGAGATTTCTTACACAGCAATATATTCTCTGCATTTCCTACGACTTCAAGTAGCCAGAGTTTGGTGAAACGAATGAAAATAGCTTCCTGAACATTACATATCTCTCGAATGATGCTATTCGAAGGACACTCCGAATTTCAGGAGAACAGAGAAAAAGGAAAATTACGTATGTTCAAAGCATACTACCTACTATTTGAGAGACTACAACAGTAAAATAATTCCAAATTATAGTTCTCAAAATCTAAACGTTAAATGCATTCAGTTCTCACGTGCCTAAGTCAATCTTCATCACTCAGTGGACGGGAAACAAGCTCATCGATCTTCTTCAATAGGCAGCCCACAGCTCATAGTCGGAGTCAGAGTAGAATAAGCTCAAACTCAAGGGTTGAAACAAAATCCATACCAGCGATTTCAGAATAGTCATATGCCCCAGAACAAAAGAAAATTCTCTGCTGGTAAGTAATCCGATCTGCCTCAAAGAAGGAAAATCATAAACAAATGGAAATTCCTCGCGACTGATTCTGAATGTCCTAGCCTTCACTCTTTCTTCGACCCGAACTCGAATCCCAACTCACTTTCGAGAATCAAAACGCACGGAATCAGCTCACGAAACCTCAAGCCTCAAGGCTTGATCAGTGACTTCCACAGACTCGACTTCCGGAGAAGCAAAATGATACCTGGCACAAACTCGGAGGACACCATATCGACCAAGAGAGAGACACGTGTTTCCGGGGAGGTGGTTCATTCTGACAACAGCCAACTCTTCACTCGGTTCAGAGTTCGAGGGACTGGACTCCCTCCGAAGGGCAAAGTTCAGTCAGTGGCGGTTTCATAAATAGCCAACCGAGTTGTTGTCACCGATGATCGTACGTGTGGCCCAATGGCCACACGTACCACGTCAAAGAGATCTGCATGCATGTTGTCAAATCCCCACGATTCTTGACTAGATTCTGCACATCAGCCCCTAAATGTAAGTTTGCATATGAATACATGTTTCTGTGAAATCTACAATTGTTCAAAATAGTGATTTTACATATCAACCCTTATTTATGTGAAATTAGATATGATTAAAACAACTATTTTACATGCAAATACATACAAAAATTTTACATGTAAAATCTGAAAGTAAATAAATTAGTAATTTTAGAAAATTCATGAATTTTGCATTATGCATATTATCATATGATGAAATTATAATCTGAATATTTCAAAATTTTAGAAATTCAAATGAATCAAGATTCAACAATTAAACTAGATTTGATTCTAGTTTTAACGGTTGCTGAATTCAAGCAATCCAAAAGAATTATACAAGTAGAAGTTTTTTTTCAGAAAATAATTCCGAGAAAAATTCAATTTAATGTTCAATAGTAAGCCGTTTGAATGTTTATATTACAGAATTATTAAAATTAATTATAATAATAACATAATTATTTGAATAGAACAGACTAGATTATAGCTTTTTTTACTCTCAAAGCGACATCAAGTTCAGTTTGAATTTCATCAAAGCTCTGTAAACGTAAAACATGAAAATCATTAATGACACATTCGTCATGAGGGAAATGTGAAAAGAACCCTAAGAAAGGGAGTGAAACAATGAACCTAAAATTTGATGCAAACAATTAGTCAGAGTAGTCTGGCTAAGTATAGAAAATTTTCCACTCTAATGACATACCTTTTGCATAATGGGTTAGCGACTACAGTAAATGTAACCAGCGAGCTTAAGCCATGTTAGGTGTAGGCGCACCTTGATGAGCTTACCTCAAAGAGAAGCAAAAAGACGAATGAACTCAATCTTGTGCAGATACGCCAATTGGTATCAAGCCAAACCAAGCCACAAACACGATAGACAACAATTTATAACATGGTTCACTCTCAAGGGCTTCGTCCACGGGGTAAGAACATCGTGATAGTATACTATGTGATGATAGATTGGGTTCTGTCTGATAATGCCGGTATTAGATATATGTATCCAACACCGAAAACCAACCTAGCTATAAATAGCTAGAACATGAATTTACCCCGTAACCAACATTAACCTCAACCATCTCTACCTTAACTTGTATTAAGGAAACATTAATCTCTATACCTATATTATGACTCCGCGAGAAGTTCTAGACGGCAACCTAACACAAGTATTCTCTTTACACGAGAGTTAACTAGAACTTAACCGTAATTAAAACAGGATAGAGTAATAACATAAAGAAGTAACTATAAATCTGTTAGCATAGGGAGAATATAAATCGTGTAAACAATATAATTACTCAGCATGAAATTCTAGAAAGAAATCTAATACAAGGTCTCTCTTTAAATGAGAGTTAACTAGAAGTAAGAAGTAGCCATAACAAGATAGAGTACAGTAGAACCTCTATAAATTTATACTCCATAAATTTATAACCTCCGAAAATTTATCAAATTGTGCGGTCCCGGCATGCGACTAGGCCAAAAATTTATAATCTTATAACTTATCAAGTTTTGGCTGCCCCGAATTTTTTATAAACTTATATTCAAGTTGATGTGCTTTCCGAGCTACATTTGTACGACTATGATCGACTAAAGAAACTTGTAATGGTTGTCTGCCTAAGCTTTTGTTCACATTTGTTTGTTGGCTGCTTAAGTATCTGACGTGGGTTAGGGATTTTCTTGGGTTAAGTTGTTTACATTTTGAGAAGTTTTCTTCTACACAGTCCAACTGTATACAGTACGCCAGGATACAGTGCCCTACACAGCCCATTACAATACCACAGCCAATACACACGGAACCTGGGTATCAAACAACTTCTATGTCATTTCGAGGTCCTGCATTCCTTGCCGTAACCTTCCATACCTTTCTGCAACCTTCCGGATGGTTCTAAGATCAATTAAGCAAAATCAAATGAATCAATTTTAATAAACTCTAGAAACTTATCACCTCTATAAACTTATCAAAAAGGGCCGGTCCCAGCTTGATAAGATTATAGAGGTTCTACTGTAATAACATAAAGAGTTAAGGATAAGCTCTGCTCGCATATAGAGAATAGAAACCTCATAAATCATATAATTACTCTACATGAAATTTTAGAAAAAAAATTCTAATGCAAAGTCTCTCTTTAAACGAGAATTAAATAGAACTAAGTTGTAGACATCACAAGATAGAGTAATTATACAAAGAAATAACTAAATATACTTTGCTAACAAACTCTACCTGTGCTTCCAATCCAAAACCTGCATAGTAGCACAATGTGGCATGAAACTTTCCAAAGTATTAACTTTGATCAACTCATCTCTTGGATTAAATTTACCGTCAAGCTTGACTAGCTCAATCATCAAAGTTTATCCTCAAAATTGACTATCTCAATTATCAGAGTTCACCAACAATCTTCATTAGCTCAATCATCAGAGTCTAACATAGATCTCGGCTAGCTCAATCACATGATTATGAACTTCATCACTACCGGTGCTCTTTATTGATCATTAATCATATAATGATCAAACTCTACCACAATCATATCCGTGAGTGAATATTTTTCCTTATTAGTGTTAAACTTTTTACCTCTTTCAATGAGCAAGGCCTTATTGAAAGAAACATTCATACTAACAAGAATCTCACAGGTTATTAGATCTCATAGCCTGTAATCCTACTACTAAGTTCAAAATCTTTTGAAAAAAATGTTCTTGACTACTTGACGGACTTGCCTAGTATGCCTGCCCTATGTCGTCTGCACTTGCGATCGTGGAACGCAACTAACCGTCGCCCGCGACTGTCTAACATCTTCACTTGTAACTAATTGTCATCCGTGACTGTCCCTCATTGTTGCTTGCAACTCATTGTGACTCCACCGGTTGCATCTTTACACGTAAAAAACTAAATAGAAAAAGCTTTAGCAACCACAATTCTAGATCTAGGTCATCTTTCATGTCTTGAAAATTATCTAGATGCACTAGTAGCATCAATAGCCTAATTTTTCTATATTCTGACGTCTTGACATACCACGTTTGTCCTGCCAACAACGTTAACTTTGATGACCACAATCTCTACCTACCATGTTTGCCTTTCCAACGTAATTGTCAGTAAACCGCGATTCAGCTGGCTAACTGTGGTTGCATTACTTATCATGATTCGTTTGGCTTACTGTAGTTGCCTTGCATATCGCGATTGATCGCGCACTCGTCTTGTCGGGCCTTAAATCAGCCTGCCTGTGCCGTTTGTCGATCAACTCATCATGTGGATCTCGGAGCAGCGCGGCCTTGGAAACACGGTCTGTTGTTTAAGGATCCTCTGACGACCATTTCAAGTTTGGAGATCTATAAATTATCACTCGGCTCTCGACCGCTCGTTTTGCCTCTCCCGGCCGTCTTGCTCTCCACTTGGCTCTCGATCCGCGGCCTTAGTAAATTTTTTGACATATTTCCCTATCTGATTCCACTTTGTCCTATCTCTCTTCTTGCTCCTCTCGCTCTCCACTTGGCTCTCGATCCGCGGCCTTAGTAAATTTTTTGACAAATTTTCCTATCTGATTCCACTTCGTCCTATGTCTCTTCTTGCTCCTCTCTGTATATGAGTTCCCTCACATCATCCTTGTTAATTTGTCTTCTTTCAAATCCAAACTCCATCTTTGTAATAGACTTTGCAGATGTTTCTTGCTCCACATTTGCAAATCCCTTGATATATGAATCAGCTGGAGCTTGCTCAACAGTATGCCTATCTTTGGGGCAAAAACGAAGATCAAGAGAATAGCTAGAGGATGTGCATTTGAAAATTTCTACGAGAATGGAAGTGATTGTTTCTTCCTCATTTTTGTCAAATACCTTTTGGCTTTTTCATTACGTGCCCATTGTATTGCCTCGGATGAAGTACTGCCCAACATGTTTGTCATGAGGTCGAGCTGGTGAACAACGTTCTTTCTCGGAAAAAACGGCCTTCCAGTCAATACGTCCACGAATATATACCCTATGCTTTAGATATCAATTGCGAGATTATACTTGGCAAAAAAATACCCACAAAGTTCAGGGGTTTGATACCATCTAGTGGCTACAAAATCCGTCCAAAATATGGTTGTTGGTGCGTCGTTGAAGGCGACGTGAGCAAGATCAAAATCACATATTTTCAGCTTGCAATCTAGGTTGGCAAGAAGTTCTTTGGCTTCAAGTCCCGATGATATACATTCGCTATGTGAATGTACTTTAGAGCACAAAGAAGCTAATATAGAACAAACTGATAGTGCTCTCGAGTCAAACCATCATTAGTTTTGACGACCTGATGAAGATCGGACTTCATCAGTTCAAACATCACATAAATATCTTTGAACTCCCGGCAGGACAAAGGCACCATAATGTGTTTGACCTCAACAAGCTTGGGATGGCGTAGAAGCCTCAAGAGTTTGATCTCCCACAAGATGCGAGTTGCATCCGACACATGTTGGAAAATGTTGTTGATCTTTTTTATGGCAACTTTTTCTCCGGTATGTGTGTCAATCGCTGAGCAGACCATCCCATAGCTTCCTTTTCCTATTACTTCTTGAATTTGATACCAATTTGCTTCATCATACTCGATGAAAAACTCGGTCTCCATCATGTTCTTGCCTGACTGCTTTCCTTTGTGCTTGATTGATTTTGAGCCTGTCCACGCAACCTCACGCATGGTCGGGATCGATGCCACACGTGTGTAGTCTCGTCTCTGCTCGATAGCGTCTAGCCAAGTGCTGCCTTTTGAGCTCGATCCCGAGGTGAATCGAGAAATTTTTTTGTTAGATTCTGCCGGATCTTGCAACCCTCTTGCCTTCATGCGATTTTGCGTCTGCATGGCCTTGATGCCTGCACTCGTCTCTTGCATATGGCGGAGACTTTTTGCTGAAACTTCTGCACTTGTCTTCCGTTGCCTATAGTTGATTGAATCTTGCTCCTCTGATCTGATCACTTAACGAAAAATTTGTCAATCCTTAGACCTCCTCGACTTGTTCACAAGGCCCCGACTTAGGAATGAGAGTTAACTAGAACTAAGTTGTAGCCGTCACATGTTAGAGTTATTATATAAAGAGATAACTAAAGACACTATGCTAGCAAACTCTACCTATGCTTGTCATGCAAAACCTCCATAGTAGCATAGTGAAACTCTTCAAAGTACATTCACATAACAAATATATATCATCAGAACTTAGAAGACAAAGAATGTTCTTGCCAACATAGATTGCATGCTGAAAATATGTGATTGTAAATAGTAATCGGTACACTAAAATAGAATGAAAATGGATGATCGCGGGTCCAGGAGAATCCAGGAGTTGGGCGCAATGTCCGGGACAGGCGCCTTGGCCCGAACGGACGGAACCTACGGAGAGGAAGCGCCTTCGGCGCGAGCAGGAGAAAACGCCTTTGGTGCTAGAGTGGATCCCTCATAACTTTCTCAATTCATAACGCCTTGACTTAGTTAGGGTTTGGTTGAAAAGAGCTCAACACGCTCGTTCTAACGAGCCCAAGAACTATTGAAACAGATAAGGGTACACTCAGTTATGAGTGTCAGAAGTTACAAATAGGGAGGGTCTTCGGCGGAACGCCTTTGGCGACGGACGATACGCCTTCGGATCAAGCGCTTTCGGAGCAACGCCTTCGGTGGGATACTCCTTCTCCTGAACGCCTTCGGCGCCAGCGCATCAATATTCGGTCAAAGCCTTCTGCCTCGGCCTTGCCGAGGGCATGTCTCGGCCTCAGCCTACGTCAACGGACACCTTCAAGGCGTTCGAAGGTGTCCGTTGACGTAGGCACAAGGCGTTCGAAGCGCCTTTGGCGCTGCACCTACGTCAACGGACACCTTCAAGGGTACGCCTTCGGCGCTGCGGGAGAGTGACTTCGGCGAAAGACGTACTGTAAGAGTAGATATTGCATGTGTGAAATAAAACTAGAATTAGCCAAGGAGTTAATCATGGTTAGGATAGTTATGACTAAATCTAGCTAGTTATGACTAAGTCTAGCTAGTTTAGCTATAATGTCTACACTTGGCGGAATAACTAGAGAAGTTCTAGAAGATTTGAGTGAGTACTTCTATTTTGTCTTGTACAAAAGTCTAGATTCCAAGAGAAAAGACTTTTGAACTTCATGTTTAGTTTTGATTGGTTTGACTAAAGTAAGGAGTATTCCATTGGTAAGACTAAGTCTTATGTTGACTTAGTGGAAAGTGGAAGTTCTAGAAGTTGGAAAGGCACAAATGGCATGTCGCCACCTCAATCTAGGGATTAGTAAACATCTAGAAGGTTTAGGGGGCCAATGGCATGTTGCCACATATTGATAACTAGTCAACCTTACTATGGTTTATCTTCGTAAAAGTAAGTTAGATAGAAATTACCATTTGTTACTATGGTAAATTCTCAAGTAGTATATATAGAGAGGTAGGGAAGAGCCTCTCAAGCAAGTTTGGAGAGTTCATATGTAGAGACTTGGTTCATATATGAAAGGGTGACGAATTTTCAGTACCTTGGAGTGTCGATGAGTGTATGAGTTGGAGTGATACCTTGAGAGATTGTGTGAGAGGGTGTTTAGGTTATGAGTATGATGCGGAATCCTAGTCTTCTAGAATCATGATGAGCTACCGAAAAGCCATCTGAGGTAAACCTGAGTGAGAGTCAGCCCGGAGGTTGCAGTACGCCTTCGGCCGTGCGCCTTCGGCAGAACGCATTCGGCAATGCGGAGAGAAAAAAATCGGGAATCGGCCAGAGGCGAAGTCCTTCGCCGCCACGCCTTCGGTGATACGCCTTCGGCGCTGCACGAGCAGGGCTAAGTCGACGGACGACAGCGGAAATCAAATTCAATTCTCGCGCGTGTGAGCCCGCACAACGGCGGAGCGTGAAGCCGAGCGTGCGAAGGAGGCCGTTACGCCTCCAAGCCGGCGCGGCAATCAAGTGGGTCGATACCCACGCCCAAGTGTCGAACGATATAAGCTTGTTCGCCGAAGGCGGACGTCTCATTCTTGGAATTGCAATTTCAATTTCGCTTAAGCAACGATTGCGCAGCAAGAAATCGGCGGAGAGAAATCAGAGAGAGTTGCGACTTGTGGGGAATTGCAAGATAGCGCGCAGCAGTTGAGTGCGCAGCCCGATGGACTTGCTAGTGAGAGCGGAAGCTCACGAAGTGATTGAGTCCGCGTGCAAGAAGCTTGGAGATCGCGAAGGAGAGTTTGCGGACTTCTGACGTGCGCGATCGAATTCAAGAACGCGATGTCGAAGGTTACACAGCTACGGATGATTTCGCTGAAGCTACCGCATATTGGGTTGCGCGCATTCCAGCACGAGCTGACTTCAGTGAAACTCGATTTCCTCCTGTGGGGATGGAATTGGATGTGCCAGGATATGGTTCGCGAGAGGCTTAAGGGCAAGGATCAACCTACGCGCGGATTTCGACCGCACCCGGAGCGATGGCTAGTCAGCGACTGGGAGCAGATGCGCGGGAGCAAAAGGCCATCTTCTATTCGAGTGCGAGAGTATGAATGTCTCGAAGGAGGAAGAAGCTACCTTCGCGGCGCTGTTCAAGCACAGCAAGTCGGGCAAGAACGGGTACAAGACCCGGGACTACAAGGATCGATACCGGAGGAATGTTGCGGTAGTACTCATCCAACTTCTGCAGCCGCATCGGACCACCTACATGACTTCTTGGCCGGTGGCGTTCGTGGAGCTGGCGTTGGCAGAAGCTCCGATTCATTGAGCTCGCATTCTGTGGAAGGCGACAAGATAACATGCATTCGAGGAGAAGGGAGAATCGATCAATCACCCCCCCCCTTCTTGATCAATTTCTATCGGTCGATGGGATGTCTGACCGCGACAGAGCGAGTGCAATTCCCATAACTATCACGCAGCAACCCGGGCCGATATGTGAAGGACGTCGAAGTCGATACCGACGAAGATGAGACACCCGCTTGCACGCCACCAGCTCAACCGATGGCGGAGGGAGAACCACTCGCAGCACGAGTGCCGCGGAAGCGAAGATGGGAAGGAGAAGTGGAGCAGAGCCAGAAATGCGATGCTGCTGCTCCCAATCGAAAGCGGCCACTGACAGAGCTCTGCAGTCGGCCCAAGCAGAAGGTACGCAGGCTCGTCTTGCCGGCAAGCAGCGCAGAGACGGGGCATGCTGCAGAGGGAAGAAACTCGCCATCCTCGGGGGAGGATGTGAGTGCACGAACTGCAGCGAGGTCAGCGGACCTCCCTGCGCCGAAGGCACGGACGCCTTCGGCGGAAGCGAGAAGGACTTCGGGTCAAGCGACTTCTGGTCAAGGGAGACAACATGCGGCAGCGACGAATGTGCCGACGACGGACAAGTGCTTCGCTTCCGAGCAAGTACCATTCGATGACACGACTTCGAGTCAAGAGCCTTCGGCGCAGAAGAGGAGTGAGGAGGAGCCTTCGGCTCAAGGGACTTCGGGCCAAGCGCCTTCGGCTCAACGGACTTCGGGTCAAGCGACTTCGGGACAAGCGCATTCGGCGGTGGACGCCTTCAGCGATGCGCCTTCGGCGGTAGCAGATCAGACGGGAGGAGCGGACTTGTCGGGAGCAAGGTCTCCCACCGCCTTAGACATTTTGGCACGGAGTAGTGCGGCGGCAGCAGCAGCAGAAGCCACACAACCCAACTCACGGGAATTGCCGGGGAATTCCGTGGCGACCGAAATCCTCAATTCGGAGGATGAAGAAGATGAATCGAGCTCGGAGGAGTAGGAGGAGGAGTCGGTGCAAGGCACGCCGACAATGGCGTTGTGCGAACAGGTGGTACCTCTGCTGAGGTACCTCGATCGTAAGGTGGCAAAGTATGCTGATCCCCGCCATCCTGGGTCCTACGTCGAATTGGTGCGCAGGCGAACGCGCACCAAGGTCAGGACTAGTAGCTTGTTGACTTCCTTGGACGAAACAATCAAGGACCTGCGGTTGAAGAACGACGCCCTGCGTGGACAACTGGTCATTTCGCGGAAAGTGCAGAAGGCGGTCCACAAGATGCAGGAAGAGAAGCTCGAGGAAGCGAAGAAGAAATTGATGAAGCAGCGAGAGAAGCTCGCGGAGGATCTCGATTTTGAGCAAGCTCAGAATCGCATCTTGTCAGAGGAGCTCGTGCGACAAACACGGTTACTAGAGCAGTGTCAGAGCGCACGTCAAGCCTATGAAGAGTTAATTCATCACCTGCAATCGTAGTGCGGCCAATTGAGAGCGCAGCGTGCGGAGGCAGAGCTGCAGCTGGTAGAGGTTGAAGTCGATCGCCGGCGTGCGACAGATCGCACGCGGAAAGAGTTGGCAGAGCGAGTGAATCACTGTCTCAGAGGTTACACTCACTGGGAAGTGGCTGCGCAGGAGAGAATCACACTACGCGGATTAGAGATTCGTGCGGCGGAATTGATGTCGGGTGACAGTCGGAGCCGGCGGCGGGTTGCGAAGAGGTTAGACTTTTGACGAGGTCGCGAGACACCATTGTGAACCTCGAGGCAAAGGTGACCGAGGTGCTTCGGCGACTGGGGTTGCGCAGCAGAGCCGACGACTGGTCGGGTAGGGAGTTGGTGCGCGATAGTCTGTCGCGCAGGAGACATAGTAGATGACATGCAGTGTAGTG